AGTTTCGCGGGTGAGAGACGTCCGTCAGCCGAGGTTGACCGGCAGAAGTCGTAAAGTACGTATCAGTTCTGAAGAGGTTTCTTGTGCTCAAAACAAGGTTGTGGTCTCTCTCATAATACGTGTATTACGTAAGTGGACTAAGTATCTCTTTGTACTTCGGGCACCAATAGAGCCGAGAGGGTGACCAAGGACAACAGTAGACACACAAAAATGTCTCAATTAATTTTCGGGTTAAAAACTCACGGAGGGATTATCTCGGTCTGAGGCGAGTGAGGGGGGCACCGTTCGTCACAGGATTTCCCGAGTGACAACACGTACGATTACACACAAATGAGCAGTTCGTAAACATTTCACAAACAAACAAACAAAGAGTCCCGGCCGAGACAGCGACGACCTACGACTCCTTAGGTTCAAAAGGGGTTCAGAGTAATAGCCGGGTGATGGTGATGAGTCCATGTAGAATATGTTGTAATAACAAAGACCAAAAACCACAGGTATATCTCAAATTTGAAGATAGAAAGTTGGACGTTATCATGTAACACAAGTGTTGTATTAAGGTCGAAAAGCCAAAATCCCTCAACGACTAAAGGTATAAACGCAATAAGACTGTTTGGGTCGTTCGTAAACATCCAATTTGCAACTTTTACGACTAAAAGTACTTTTTCCTTGAAAACACAAAACCAAGACAGTAGGTACCCCCACGTTGTTTCTCCTTAGGAGAGGATAAAGAAATTTGGTTGATTTTGAACTTCAGCAAGAGTCCCGGAACGGAGTTTCGTCGACGTCGTACTCTCACTAACCGACACCACCCACACACCCCCACCCCCCCCCCGACACTTCCTAACAGTCCCAGTGTCCTCCCTCCCCTCCTCCCCGAAATGTCGTACACCAATTAGGGGTTCGTCTTCTGTCCTTCGGTAACAAATGGTTCTCTAAACTGAGCCACACACACGGACAACAAATTCCCACCCCCCGCAAAACTTGAAAAGTCTGAGTCGTGTGTAAGACTAATAACAGACCTTCCTCTCTGAATACAATAACCTGAACCAAATAAAGACACAGAATCAAAAGAAGAATAATGTAACGGAACACAACATAAATACGACGTTGCGGTTTGTATATAGATAAGATAGACAGATAGCCAGACAGACAGACAGACAGGACAGACAGACAGACAAAACAGACAGATAGATAGATAGATAGATAGACAGATAGTAGACAGACAGACAGACAGACAGACAGACAAAAGACAGACTAGATAGACAGACAGACTAGCAGACAGATAGATAGATTAGATAGATAAGGGACAGAGGCCCCCACCCAACGCGCGTAGTTTCCTTGACAACATTGGACCAGTGCTGGTCGCTAGGGGCCTGAAATCTCCTCCAGTACGACCACGAAGCACTGACAGCTCTAAAGTATTGATTCAGGATCACCGGTAAAGTTACTGTGTGGACAAAGTAATGCACAAAATGTGTTTTCCATGTGAAGTGAGTATTTCTCTCTGGTTCAGCGTCAAATAATTCATTTTTTGGATCCACTGTAATTTATTGTCATTGAATAGAAAAACGAAAAAAGGTCTATGGACTAATTATATGTTTTAATACATATTTATTTCTGAAATGGGGGTAAGGGGTTTCTGACATGCAACCGAAAGGTCCAAATAACATTTTTTTTTTAAACCTCGTATTTAGAAAGCTAAAATTCAATAGATAACTAAACATGTTTTTACCATATTGTAAAAGTGTTTGTTTGTTATTAAAAAGGTAAATTATTTAAATTATTAATCAACATACATTAATCAGCCATTATCCCATGCATTATTGATTTGAGAATGTGCTTCTTTGTCTTGTCTTAACGTTATAATAAATGAATTATCTTTAGATTTAGACACCGAGCATACGATTGGTTACTCAAGTAAATAACTGGCTTGCCAATGATGAACTATTTGATCATCATCTATTAAAATAATGTAGTCACCCCCATTATTATTACCATTATTCGATTCAAGCTGGTCAAATAAATGAAATTTAAATGATCATAGCATTAATCTAATTCTCTGTAATAATATACATGACTGTTGGATATTCAATAGGAGAGGTGTGAGCAGGAAACACTTCATGTTTTGTGTCATGGCGTTTGACCGCTGTTTGGTCTCATTCCCACAAACAGAGCGGAGCACGGTGTTGGTTTTATATTGTTGGATGTGTTCTGTGGTGCAGCAGATATATTATCCTGCGGTGTGTTTTATTTGAGCAGGGCAGCGTGCTTTAAATAGCCGATTCGTCCAGAGGTCAAGGATGGACGGAGCAGATCTGCACTGCGGGCTGCTCACGCCCCGATGTGATTAGAGGTCTGACAGCGAGGCAAAAGGTGAGAGACACAGGAAGCATCACTGCTGCAGCAAAGGTGGAGCGCCCGACTGACCAATCAGAAGCCTCGGTGACACTATGAGTCAGGGCAAGCTGGTGAAAATCCAGAAGGACTTTTTTCACCCTTCCTCAGACACATTTCAGACTTTTTGTTTGTCTGGTTTGGCTTTAAATGACAAATAAATATGTGCATGCGATCAAATACAATAAAGATAACTGCATCTCAAAAAGATTAAAACATTTCACCTCATCTTGTTGAGTGCTTTCTGTTTTTGTAAATATCTCAGGAGAGAACGAGGAGGAACTTGGCCACAACACTGTGAAATCCAAAGTCATCTAACAATTTATTGTTGTTGAATTAATGCAGGCCCCGACTAAAGAACAGTTTTTTACACCAGGCTGTCAGGAGGCTGAACTCTCTCCCCTCTCTCCCCTCTCTCTCCTCTCTCTCCCCCCCTGCCCTCACTGGACTATACAGTAACTCCCCACGCACACTCAGACACTCAAATCCAGCACCAGACACTTTTTTTGTAACGCTGCTATGGACAATCTTGCACTAATGTATATTCCCAAAGACATTGATATTGAAGTGACTGTTATTTTGTATATATTCATTGTTGTGTATTTTTTTATCTTAATGTGTGCATATGTGTAAATGTGTCTGTTGATTATGTATATATAGGATATACATATCTGTATTTTTGTATTCGGGATTGTTGGAAACATCATTTCAATCTCTCTGTCTGTACACACAAACTGAAAGATTGACTTTGAGGTTATTTTTTTGATTAACAATTTTAGCTTTTGGTAATAAAATATGAAAGACAAAAGAAATATCACGGTATCCTAAAGAATAGAGAGACATCTTCCAAGGTCTTGTTATGTCTGACAGTCCCAAAGATATTTAGTTTATTATTACACATAGGACCAAAAGCAGATTTGAGAAGCTGGAACTAGGTTATTGCAGCTTTGTAAGGGTCAAATTAATTTACTTTATAGGTACCTAAACCAAAAACATTTGGTAAGCTTTTTATCATAATGAAAAAAGCTTTGAGAATGTGGATATATTTGTAAAACTATGAATGGAATTGCAAAAAAGTTCTAGCCTTGATATGGTAATGGTTAAAAGTAAGCACTCAAACAGAGATGCATCCGTTCTGCTCTTCACAATGCCATCTCATCACACCTCTGGCTAAATAAACAAACAGTTTCACTTTCTCAGTCACCTCAGGCCACCACAGAGTCTGCAGATCAGTCACTTCCGTTCAGAAATCATTGACGGTTTAGATGAAACTTTCAATCGCTTCATGAACACACAAGAGAGAAAGCAGCTCGGTGGAAAATGTGGTGCAGGAAGTCAAAGGACATGACACATGTACTGCAACAATCAGTAGTGTAAACTCTGTGTTTACATGCATCTGATTAGTAATGATTCAATTCCAAAATCATGTATGACTTAAATAAACCCACTATTGTCTATGACTACAAAAATCCTTCCCTTAAAAACCCCTGACAAGTAGTCTTATTCTGAAACAGTACATATGAAGACCTTTCAGATTCAGATTTGACATAAAAAAAAAAAAAAAATATTGCTGATGCCTGATTGGTGCACCAAAGTGTGTCACATTACTTTTTTTTTACCTTCTCACCTAAACCAGTGAGGAGATTACGGTTAACCAAAAACATCAAAATATAGATATTTCTCTTAAGGACAAAGCCAAATGACTAAAACTGTTCTGCAGAAATGACTGTTGAAGCAAAATCACAGAGAGAAAAAACTATTTAAAAGCTCTTGAGTTTAAAAAAAAAAAAAAAAATGGTGAGTCCCTCCAAATACTTATTTTCTACGTGTTACACAATCTATAAGGGTAAACAGGTTGGTGTGCATGACATGTATGTTAGAACCAGACCGACCAGTGATGTTTCCATTAATCACAGAGGTCCCTTCCCTGTCAGTCAGTATGGATTGTTCTGTTGTGCTCACCATTATGTCCCCTTTGCACTCGTACAGACAATGGTGGGCTAGCTCCTGGTTGGTGCCTCCTCCACACAGAACACTGGTGCAGGCCAGGTGCATGAGGTCTTGCACTGTGAACACAGAGAGAGAGAAAGAGAGAGAGACTGTGAGCAAGATAGTTGTTATTATTTTGCACACTGTGGTGAGAGAAAAAAAACTTGATGTGGGAGGATAATTGTTATAAACATTATTGTGAGTGTGGTTTTATTGTGTTTCTCTGCTGTTAATCATGCAGGCTCAGCAGTTCTGTTGTGTCAAAAACAAAACCAACCCACAGTGGCAATTACGTCTTTTTTTCAAATACATATTTAATTGCAGCATTTACCTGGAGGGTTTAAATTGCACGCATGTCTTAAAAACTTAAAAGGTAGGGTAGGTAAGAATGGAGAAACCAGCTCGAGGGCGCTAAGAATTTTGGAAATACACAGTCCGAAAAAAATCTCAGACTTCCTTACAGAGCCCCTCCTCCAACACACACATGACCAAATGAGGCACGAGATAAGGTTTGTGCACAGATGGGAAAGCTGACAGGCAGTAGGCCATCCAGTTACTTTAGCCGGCGGCTCAGATGAGCGTTGGGTCCGTGCTTTTTTACAGCGCCACGGCTGTCCACAGATGATATTATTTTTTATGCGATTTTTTTGCCAAAGCCACTTTAGATATTCATTGCTCTGGGATGTTAAGAGCATTCCATTGGAATATAACAAAAAGTGGTATCTCGAGCGGTTTCTCAAACTTACCTACCCACCTTTAAGTGTCTTAATGAAAATTAAAAAAAATAAGAATAATTTGTCAGTTTTTAAAATGTAAATGATGTATATTTATATGTATATATAGCACAGAAAGTACTCTGTATTATAATTAGGATAATGACTCAAAAAGTAAGAAGTTTCTACTGAATTCAAAATATAAGAAATCTTATATATATAATTCTGTTTGATAGATCATCAGCTTCTCAGTAAATATATGTCTCTCTCCTATATATATAAATAGATTTCACTAAGATCCTGCTAAATGCTATCATGTTTGTTATATTTTGGATTTATAATATATATATGAGGATGCTTATTGTTTTTCTCTTTTTCACGGGGAACCCAGAAATTAATAATTGTTACTATGGTATTATATATCTGGTATCTTAAAATATAATATAAGATTATATATATCCTTTACAAAATGTGAAACTGTATTTATTCTTAAAATGTGTATTCACAGATCAAGGTTTTTTTTGTCATGTGTATCTTTTAGCTACAGTTTATTAGACAATGAACATCTTAGGTCACAGGCTTCTCTCTCCTCCAACAGTGCATCTATCCATATAGTATACCATGGTGTGGTCAATACTCTATTTTCCTCTTCACTAATTATCTGCTATCTCAAAAGGCCAATATTATATTACATTAAAAATTTTATATACATTTATTAATATATATTGGCTCGGTGACAACGCGTAAAATAAGAAATTATCACAAAAATTTATCGCGTTTTCTTCTGTTATATAATATTTATATTTTCATTATATCATATCCCTCTACTGTCTTCCCCCCCGTATCTGTCTCATTAATGATTTCGGGTGGGTACCGATTATACTGGGGCACCAACTAACGTTCATTACTTCAAGCTATACAAACTAAACCTCATGAATCAAATGTCTAAAAATCTGTTGTGAAAACTAAATAAGAAGCTGATTGAACCGCTTTTGTGGGCTCCCGTGATAAAATGTTGGACCAATGTGTGTTTTTAATAAAATACGTACGAATGAAGCGTCAATAAGAAGCACGGTTGTGTGGCAAGATTATGCAAAGAAAGAATTCGCATATCCCCGCGAGCCACATCCAAGCCTCGAAGTATAGCAAGCTAGCGTGGAAGTAGCCCGACTCAGACGTACAAGGACCCACACCCAATCTCGCCGTTGATTGCAAACAGTGGCCTATGCAACAAGAGATTTTATTTTCTCATCAGGATATTGAAGAATAGGAGGGATTGAGCATCAACTCGACTGCAGTTTTTTTATTTTATTTTAAATTGGTACAATTACACTTTATGTTGAACTATTTATTACGTTGTTTTGTTGTGCAACGGCACTTTATTGTTGAACTGTTTTATTGTTCTTGGCCAAGGTTATTGAGAGAGTTGGACTGGAATTGATTAGATTTTTTAAATCAACTGTTGGTAAATCAACAAAGGTCTGTTATGGCCTCTGAAGCAACAGAGAGTTGTTTTCTTACATAGTCAGGGTTCTCCCAATGTCTGAATGTACTGAAAGTAATTGTAGTTATACTTAAACAAACAAAGTGTTATACGTTACAGAAGGTCTACCTACCTATAGGTACCTGAATCTCGGAAATGTACTATATTCCTAAATATTGCTATTGCTACCACTTTATTGGCAAAATTGCACTTTTCTGTTGGTCTTGGTTAAGAACCCTCCTTGATTAAAAAATAAACAATGTTTTGTATGCTTAAGCTTATGGTATCAGTCATTATTCATATGGTGATACTAAAATCGCATGTGAAAAAATTGCTTCCTCACTGTTCTCAGGTGTGCGAAAAGGTATTTATATGCGATTAAAAATGCGATTAATTTAATTACAAAGCCTGTAATTAATTAGATTAATTTTTTTAATCGAGCCCGGCCCTAAAATAATGTAGTTATATTAACATTGGATTATTATGATGATAGGTAGTAACTTTCATAGTTAACTACATCTGAAAGCAGAAGTCTAGGGCAAATAATTGCAAGTCCGCTTCAGTAAGAATGTCACAAAATGACTTAAAGAAGGAGGAAAAGCCAATTCTTGAAAAAAAAAAGTCAAAATCAAAAAAAGAAGTGACATTTTGGAAATAAAAAAAA